TAGACATAAACGTCATCTATTATAGAACGGTAGGCAAGGCGTAGGGTAACTTACCACTTGGCCACATCCACCACAATTAGGATTGGTGCTTAGGTTCGAGCAAGAACCGGCACAGCAGACTTGGCCCGCCGCGCACTAGTAGTGTAAAATTAGCTGCAATGCGACAGTGCAGCCGAGGGGGTCGACTTGCCTTATTGCCACACATCCCACAGTTTAGACGGTCTGTTTGTATGTTACTGCAAGCTCCGTTGCAGCAGGAAAGGTTATCACCGGGGCACTATTAGCATAAAATAAGTCTCTCTTGGAATATTAAGTTCAGATAATAGCTTACACATAGTCCACTGCAGAGAGACAGTCCTGTACGAGCACAGATGCAAGCATTATTAATGCAGGTTGAGCCAGATGGGCACTATTAAATGTCAAATGTCAACGTCCGTCGGTGCTGGTATAGAGAGGGGATGGCTTCAGTCAGACTTACAATGGCACCGCATGTTCCACAGTTATTGTTGGTATTCAGGGAAGTACAGACTCCATTACAACAGCTTTGGCCTGTTGCACACTGTGGTGATATAAATGGTCATTCAAACCATACTAATGGTAACAGGGAGCCTAACTCGTAGGTTGACTTACACATATTCCGTTACAATAGAGAGATCCAGTCCCATTGCACACGCAAGCCCCTCCAACACAAGTTGTAGTAGATGGACACTGGCATGTATCATAAGGTCAGTGATTCACTTAAACTGAATGTCAAATGTTGTAGGCTAACGTACACACTGGCCATTACAGGGCGGCTGTTTAGTAGCAATACAGATGCAGGCACCGTTATTACATATCGATCCAGATGGGCACTATGGCATGACGACATAGGATCAGTCCCTCTGTTGAATAATTCATGAGGAGGAAAGAGGTGATTTTACAATATTACCGCATGACCCGCAGTTCTGGCTGTCGTTGGTCAGTGACTTGCAAGTTCCATTACAACATGTAAAACCCGATGAACACTATAGAGATATCAGCTTCATAACATGTAAGCAAATGGAAAGATAACCTACGCCAGGGGAACACGATTGAGCCAGTGTGATTGCTATAATAGCAAATTATTCAGTTTCAAGAGCTTCGTAGTGTAGAATACATGTAAGTCGATGACTCACCACAGAGGGAGATAATGAGTAGGAATATTCTAGCCATCCTGAATGGAGTCGTGTGCCAACAAGTACTGTTGAATATCAATTAGTTATTAGAAATGCTTCATAGAGTGTACCACTGTTTTCCTTTATAGCTTTCGAACGTTAGATATCTGTTGAGGATGCAGTATTCCTTCAAGGTTTTCAGAGTTGGGTGGGTATCGCATTTAAATCCGCCTAGCTTACTGAGCCCAGGGACACTCGTTGACCTAAGACACGAGATCTTTTCGAAAGACAGTGTGATTATAGGACAGGAGCCGCCATACCACCATTCCTCTCAGCCTCGCTATATTTCTTTTGAGTTTAATCAGTCAATTAAATGTAGCTTAGCATAACACCTAGACTGTTTTATGTGTCTGCGTTAGCTTTAGTACCAATATCATAATGAATAACTATTTTCGCAGATTGGAATGTGGATTGTGGAGCCTATTACGCTCCTATTGATTCCAATCAAAGTTCACTCTGCAGTTCCCCACCCACAGCTAGATGGGCATGGAGAGCTGCTGATCATCACAAAAAATTTTGAAAAGGAGGCTGGCATATAAAAATCTGTACTTCCAGAGTGGGACTGCCAAACGCTTGATATTGAAGATAGAATTGCCGAACAATGGCATAAGGAGGCCTGAGACATGTGCGAGCTTCTCAGCACCTAGAAGCAGTTGGTATGTTGTCCCTTCGCTAAGGCCACAAAGGGTGGGCTGTCAGAGACCAGATTGTCCATCGCTCGGTGAGGAGATGGGGAATAATGCAAATCGTACATATGCAAGGGAATTGCTGGAGTGCGTCTAGGGCGTAGGTCTGGAGGTCGACCTAACCTCTTTGATAACTATGTATTATTATTTCTTTCATATTCATGTCGTGGAAGGTATGGAAGTAGTCACAATGTCACTATCAAGGCATCAGCCAGAGACATTCAGACTGTAAATAAAACGCCTTGAAACATGTATGTGCAGCAGTCCCGTAAGAAGAGGTTTGCAGACTTTCTTAAACTAGGTAGCATATGTATTTGATATGATATATTGTGGGGATGGAAGCAATGAATGTTCTTGATTCTCCTATTACTATCTGTTTTTGAACTCTCAAAGAGCTTAGAAGTAGGTCCCTGTATATGAATCCACGGTTCAGATTTTGGCAACTCTTTAGGCAGCGAATGCGAAGATGACGTAGGATAGGAAGAGCTGGCAGCCGATGTAAGACGTATGGTAGTTGTTTCTGCTATCGGCTGTGTTCATTACAACCGTTATCGTGTCGAGCAGGTTTAATAGCACACAGGTCGTATAGCAGCTTCCTCAAACACCTTAATATTCCACTTTCGAGCGATCCACCACTGCATTCACCCCGCTACTGAATACCTTTCAGCAAACCATCCACAACTGTACCAACGCTGCCAAGGATTGAATTGACTGCTGAGTCGGCGGTAACTGCATTTGCAGCGCTGGGACCAAGGTCTGCACAATTCTAGGCACCGGTATCAATATAATGCTGTATTTTAGCTGTTTTTAGGCATAGAACTTACAGAGGTACCATCGTCGAAGTTAAATGTGCAGCAGACCTTATCCGTAAAGCCCGAATCGAAATTAGGACAAGTGCCTGATTCAGTCAAGAGGTCACACCACCAAGTTGGACGTGGATTGTCCGGGGGACAGCAGAAGCAGATTTTCGCATGCTGGGGTTCGCCTCCAGGAGGATTTGTGCCACTGTCATGGAGATGGCCACCGTTATTGGACTTCCCAGGCTCTCCGCGTGGGCTTTCTTGCGAGGCAGGCGGATTGGCCTCACTCCGTGGGGCAGCAACGATGCCTGCGATGAAACATAAGAAGGATATGAGAGTAGCTAATCGCATTTTCAGATAGCACGTGCCCGAGAGTTGTAAGTGATGAGAGGAAACGGGGCGCTGCGTTCAATTTACTACAGATAGCAAACTCAAGTAAGGTGATGGTAACCCGCTGCGCGCCTCAAATGATTGATAACTAGAAGACAAGAGTCGGCTTGGGAAGCAAAGGATTTTTATCTCCAATTCTCCTAGTGAAACATGATCTCCCAATGCGGATACTCTTCATAACTTGAGAAAGGAAAATATAATGGGGGCAAGACTTACCACTCCGGATAATGTTGACTAAAAACACTAGTCTTCATTACTGGTGCAGTGGTCATATTTATATATGTGGCTCTTTCCACTCCGTTCAGATACGGAATGTTGTCTTTGCATATCTAGGGTGAGGTAATAGGTGAACATAGTCATGCTTCATGGTTCCATCTCTTTATCATTCCTATGTCTGGGGCTATTTCAAACCTATAGTAGGATACTTCAAAGGTTGTTGACCTCCGTCTGTTTATACACATTATACTAAAGAAAGATAGCGTCTTCGAGCCTCAGCAAGTAGAAACCTGTTTAGGCTGTAGTCGAAATTTAGTTTGTTGTATATGTTCATCCATTTTGAGAGTATCTTCCCCCAGGAATAAGCGGGAGCAGAACCCAGTAAACTACCTTCATCTCTGCGAGATCTCGAAAGTTCTCATGGCTTAACAATTACTCCCTTCTTCGCGAACATTAGGAAGTGGCAACCGGCCAAGCCTACGCTCTGGCATTCAAAGGCGTGCGGCGGCGGGTGGTCTCTACGCGATCTGGATATCTGGCGCTGCGCGGAAGGCGGCAGCCAAAAGTTGGGAGTTGGGGACGCTCCACTGGACAAGGCTTGCGGCTTATCTGGGGATGTTAAAGATGAGGCGCGAGTGAACGCCGTCATAAAAGCATGATCGGGGAGTTAGGGTGGATACATAGCCTTTCCGCATCGACATGGGCCAAAATCATGCCCACGTCGCTGGCAACGGCTTACTGATTACGGCTTATCCATACTTCTCGCGCGAAATGAAGGCCAAGCGGAGCTCTACCCTGCCACACTGATCATTACTATCGTGAGGATACACCATACCCAAATCATGCACACTTTTAAGAAAGTAATATTTTGAATAAAGTTCTCTCAACTCCAAAATTATGAAGGTGGCCCAGGATTCCTTTGTTTCGTGGCTAGCCCAAGGTCCAGAATTAAATCCCAATGGGTGTTCAGATCTGAATGCATTGGCTTTCATGAATTACGGTCTGTCGTCGATATTGAGTATAAAATTACGGGGGTGTTACATTATAGCAAGCATCCAGCGTTTTATGCGAGGCGAAAAGTACAATTTTCGATCCTTAGATGCAAAGGCCCATCTCATCCATTCAGCATAATACTCACCAATACGAGCAAACGGCAGCATTTTGACTGTGTTGAAAGATTTTGAACGCTTACAAGAATCAGACACTTTATGGGTCAGTGCAGGACTGGAATTCAGCCATTACATAGACTAGAACGCATTTTCTGCATGTTGCGCTTCACTGTAGCCGCCGCAGTGGATTTTCGTCCGGAGAGCAAGCCATTTATACATATCGAGTCAGAGAAGGCGTTGTGCTCATTTGAGGTTGTTGTACAGGAAATTTTTCATCCTTTAATTGAAGATGAGAAACGAATGATCCTTGTATTAGACTAAAACTACTACTAAATAATGATGTCGCATGGGTTTCCCTGGAAACAGAAATGAATTCAGCCGAAAAAGATGCCATAGGTGCTCTCTGATAAGCATGAATCACTTCAACCTCCAGACCCATTCGGCTCTTGAATGATAATTAGGATGCATCTTCCACACAAGTTGCACATCATGGTGTCTTCCCGCAACGTTATGACACCATTGAACTCGAACGGTATTCCCTAAACTAGTTGATTTCCCCAGCCATCAGCATGCGGCACAAAGCCCAACATATCGGATAAAGCTTACTTAGAGATTGATGTTGAGCAAGGATGGCACCAAGTTCAGGACCTCTTGAAGGAGACCCTGGGGAGCTGTTACAGCACCGCTCGGGTCAGAGCAGCCCGCCTAGCATGATAATTAGCACTCAGCGTAACGGTCAGTGGATATTGATTGGAAACTCACCAAGACACCACGGCTAACAGGGCAGGTGAATTTGACATCACCAGTCGCACAATTCTGGATGGCCGAATTATAGGCAACGCAAGTAGGGGTACCGCCGCCAATTGTACCGCCGCCAATTACACCTCCGGTGAGAGTCAGCCCTTGAGCTGCGATAAAATTACCACTGCAACAGAGAGTAATTGCACTCTCCGTGCCGAATGGCAGAGATACAATGCCGGAACCAAGGCCATCTCGTTGAGGTGCAGCCAAGCCAGCCGCAGTGAAGCCGAGGACGGTGGCAATAGTGCTGGAACGCATCGTGATGATATTAAAATTTGACAGAAGGTTCTGGCTTGATGAATTTGTTTGCCGTTCGAGACTTTGTGTTGCTTCTGAATTGGATGGAGATGTTTGATTGATGAGTAGGAAACAGAGCTATGAAAGGTCATTAGAGGTTTATATATCTTTTAGCTGCCCCTACGCCTTGTCAATAAAGGTTCAATGAATGCATAGGGAGGTCAGGAATGAATAGGTAACGGCATGAGGGCAATCCCTTTGCTACGGTCACCTCCAGTAATGATTCCGTGATTTCATACAATAACTGTTCATTCTCCCTGTGTAAGGCCTCCTGTGTCTACTACTGTTCCAGTCTTAACATTGCAATATCCACCTCCAAGTATGGAACTAGTTGTCCCCATATCGATGCTTTACCAGATGGTGACAAGTAGTCGAAGAGAAAGAATACTGAATTGCTCGGGCCATTTGGAGATATGAGCTGCATACACATTGCTCTATAGACGCTCTGACTTCATCAGGGTCCAAGGCCATCCCTAGGCATGATCATGGCCCCTGGATCTATTTCAGAAATATTATCATCATTCTCTGCGTATTTGCTCGGATCATCTTCAAACATGGGGCTGGGAAGTATGGTTTACTAAAAAGCCAAGGACAACAACTATTAGAAGCTCCATATGGAGATCACAGGGCTGCCAGTATGTGGAAATGATTGACTTACACCTCTGGGAGAAGATGACAGTCTCAAACGTATATATTATTCTCAGGTTTAAGGATACTTTGTTGGATCTCCGCAAGGCATCTGGGATATGCTAAGTTACAAACGCAGGCAAACGGTTCATACAGCTGCAAACAGAGACCGAATTTGATTAATCATACTGCAAAATCAACATCACCAATCCAATATCATCCAATAACCAGGTCATAAATGCATTAAAAAGTAAACTACATTCGCGAGGGTGGAGATAGTTTAGAATGTGCCCAGGCCTACAGCCGCGTCCTTTCCAAGTACAGACTGCTCCAAGTCACTTCTGCATTGCTTGTTATTTTCGGAATGAAGACATGTTAATACTACGAATCGGGGTTTTCGTGTCAAAGAACGTGGATCGGAGCTACCCAGCCCATATAGTCCACAATCAGAAACATGAGTGCAACCCACCCGAGGTGAAATTAATGGTTATCCGACACGAAATGTAGAGAATTCAGGCTGACGTGGGCTATCCTCTTGGAGCTATGGCCATTAGAAGGTATGACTCTTGATACTTCCCCTGTTTATGATTTGTTCTCCCTTGCCGAAAGCCGTTAAGGTCATGTTGAAGTATGCTTGTAGCTCTATACTCTGGAAAGTCCCATCCTCAACTTGGGCGACGGATGGCCTCTGCTAAGACCTGAGATAAGACAGTTTCAGCCTAGGCCCTTAAAAGCTACGAGTCCTATCTTGAAACAAAGCCAATCTAGCCCACATACGTGTCTCCGTTCACGTCTCAGACTGTCCAGGTCATAGTCGAAGGCTGCAATCCTGACAATGGCTGCTCTGATGGTATGCTCCACTTATTCAGTGGTCTCCTGCACCATTAGTACAGCAACATCCTGATACCTACATTGTCTGGCCTAATGCTCCGAGACAGCTTAGTGGCTATGCAGCTGCTTTCCTCATGCCAGGAGACTGTATAGGTCATTGATAAGGCTCTGAGTGGATCCCCGTGTGTGAGATCGACGGCTTTCGAGGCTGAATGCGGAAAATTCACCAGCAAAAGAGACTTGGCGGCTGCAGGGAAACACACGCAAACCCCCAATTAAGTTTCGATAATTTTGCCTTGGAATCAACAGCCGCCCAACTTGAGCAATATGGCTATTTAAGGACGTATCTGCCCCTCTGAAATTCAACTTTCTTTTCCTTTCTTCCTCAGTTTGACTTCCTTGCTCGTCTCGGCCTATCTTACTGCTCAATCGCTCATTCTCCTTCTCCAAATCCTACCCACAGACCCACACCGAAGTATACATGCACTAGAGCAAGGTGACAGGTATACTTCATTGTGACTTAGTGGCTTGGACACTGGGGATGGAGAAGGATTGGCAAAAGTGGGCTTTTTTACAGGCAGTAACGCAGTCAAGCTCCGGATGTTGGAGCTGACTGGTTCGGCCAAGTTAAAGTCTTTTAAAGTGCATATCTTCCTAGCAATGCTTATTATCAAGTTGATTTGCGACGCATGTGGTCAATCAGTCCATGTTCAAGTCTCTCTCTCACATTGTATTTATTAGCCACAAGCTGTATATTCCAAGACTATGCACTTATTCCAAAACATGATCTAATTCTTCGTGACCATTAAAGTTGTTCCTCGGACCTTGTAATACAGAGTATAAAATCTTACAGAGCTATCAGTTCACCTTTTATGTGAGGGGCTTGCTATAATAGGGGATAAATACATCCATTCGTATCAATGCAAACATTATCGTTGGATGGCTCTGAACACCTGTACCAACCTCTTAACGGAAGTACTTGTCAGAATGTGATAATTGACCTGAAAGCAGCACGAATAGCCGAATACATAAGAAGATACAAGTCAGGAAGGCAAAGAGTTGTCGTCCGATAACAATTTCTATGCCAGAGACGCAGTGCCTTCATCAATCTTGATAGTTTCATTAGATCACTCTAAGCTGAAGTTGATCTCAAGATTTTAGTTGGTTTGATGGCCTGATAGAATCATTTACAGGTAGTCTAGATTATGTTCTTATATTGAGACTTCAGTAGTTGTTGTCTTGTTCCGTCTATGGAGTCGAGGTGTGAGTTAAGCTTCATGTAGGTAAATATATATAATCAGCATTCGCCAATTCTCATTACGACCATTATATATCACCAGTAACCAAAATTACTATGATAAGACTAGCTAAGGAGACATTTTATTACGATTTAAATAGGCAAAAGGACAGTATCGGATCCCTGCATGCGTTGATGTTTGAATACTACATCAGAAAGGTAGTATACATAAAATGTGGGCAACTCTATAGTTCAAAGCATGGATTTTTAGGCTGCTACCCCCCAAACAATAAGTCGTATAGATATAACAAGCTGATATCAACCAACATACAAAGAAGGAGCCCTTTATGGCTTCATGATACAGACGTTGGAGATTCAAGCTCAAGCCTCTGCGACTTTCCAACGGGACCCTTGGGTTCAGCCATTCAACAATGGCTGTAATACTGCTTAGAGGCTTAGAATCAGGTATAGCTGCTATACGGATGGTTGTATCGGTCTTGTAGGACCGTCGCCCAATGCAACTGTGTGGCTCAGTCATAGTTCCAAGTAACCGCCACATGAGATACGAGCCCCTCGAGGGGTTGTAATTGCCATAGTTGGCTTCCCGAATCCGTTGGTTTTCTCAAGGATTGTAGATGATGCACTCGGCACTGAATTTCATAGAATGAACCTTGCGTAAAAGTGGGTGATCTTTCTTTCTCCTGACTCCATGAAGACACACTACTTAACGATCGCATTAAAACGGACATGATGCTCGGGAGGCTTAGGCGAGCGGCGGGACTGCGAGGAAAACCCAGATATGTATCGGGAACAGGTTGACTCCTAGTCTTACGTGGCCAGGAAAGGTGTGGACCTGTTCCGTGCATCTTACACTTGCAGTTTTGGCGTTCATCTTTTGAGATTGGAGCGCATGGCCAGCACTGGTTGTTTGATTTATCGCCGACTTTCGGGGCACTGAGGGGTCTCCCGACTGAATTGGGAGACCGGAGCTGCCGCTAGAATAGGGAGAGAAGATAGGAGCGGTCCATAAAGCCAAATTGTATTAGTTTCCTTGTACCTGCAGTGAGTTAAACATAAAATATCTCTGAGATATAGAGGACTCATACGCCAGTTGATTTTCTGAGACGGAATATTATGCAGGGACTTTTCCACTCTCCACCATGCTCTCCAGAGGGAATTCTCGAGCCGGTAATATTTACTGAGATTCTTCTTTCTCTTGTAAATATACCACCAGAGGTCCTGAGTCATTGATGGATGGGATAGATAATCCACATTTAGTTCGGGAGGGCGCTCAATCATGAAATCATCTAGCACTCTAGACCCGAAATCAGACATTATATTCTGTGTAGGAGGGTGAAGTATGAGAAAGAGATTCATTTGATGAGATTATCCAAAGGTACTATATGGGATCAACTATGATGATAAAACATCTAAAGAACCAGTTGTAAGGCCAGCATTTTCGAGGTATCGCTTATCACGTCACTTTTTAAACAGTTTTAGCGGATTAGGAAATGCCCTGTCTCATTTCATGCTTCACTCAGACAACGACGGGAACCTATCGATGTATTTTTTTTACCTGGAGCCGGAGAGCTTAGGATATGCATAATTTGTACCTCCGAATAGCTCTGAGACGCATCTGTTTGCAAGGACTAATGTATGCAAACGACTTTTGTCATCTTAAGGAGTTAAGGGGCGGCAGTCTATCTCTTGGCACCTACTATTTTCCTGCCCTGGTCTCCATGCGCCAATGATTACGTTTTAAGTTCGAACTTGAGATGACCATAGCTGTAAATATTGAAAAATGAGGCCTACTATCCTGCACACGGTAAAGGAGGTTACGTCGCATAGCCATAGCTCGAGGTGACCATAGCGAAAGAACCTATCTCATTTTATCCTACTCTAATGGCACTTAATCAACGGATGGACCCCTAAAACCAAATGCGTCCTTTTTGCCTTAGATTTTGCTTTTCCGTCATAAAATGCGTGACGTAGAGTAGGTTCGACAAACTCTAGGCTTTCTATTCATGATACAGATGCTTCTCTGCAAGGCCTAAGCCATTAGTGGTTTTATGCCAAATATACACTTAGTACGTGCCTTCATGCAGATGATAATAGGTGGATTAAGGGGTTTCTGAAGTATTACAACTATTAATATCCTTAGGTACAGCCTGGATGAATATGCTGCTCTTAGCATTATTGATCTCTTATCGGGTAGAGACGATGCTGCCTTTAGAAGTACACGTAAGATACCCCATACCACTCCGTA